CTGGCTTTGAACTTGTGATCTTCCTGCCTCAGCCTCTCCAGCTGCTGGGATTACAGGTGTGAGCTACCATGCCTGGCTAGATCATGCCCTTTCTAATCAATCTGGGGAACATGAAACTTTGCTCACGCTGGACCAGGAGCTTTTGGTTTTATTCCCTCGAGGGACACTCCCATGAGGGCTGGCAAGGTTCTACCTCCCTTGGACACTGCCCAGGGTCTCATTATCTTTTGTGTGGCCTCCAGAAAGCAGAGAGAATATGTGAGAAGGAAAACATGTGCATTCTGATAGAAGAGCTGGGTGGGATCGACAGGATCGAGGCTTTACAACTGCACGAGAACCATCAGATCAGCCAGGCTGCTCAGAACCTCATCGAGAAACACTTTGGTGAGGTAAGTGACTTCCAAGAGGAAAGAAGTGCCCGTCCATGCTGGCAGCCCACGTCTGCTAGTGACCACCCTGCTGCTGATGCTGCTATGAGTCAGGTGACCAGGCATATGGGCTTCCCTCCTGACCCTCCTCTGAACTTAGCTTGGTGACTGCTTACCATTGCTGTCTAGTTGGCCTTGGAGTGTCAGGAAGCTGGTCTAATACCAGAGGGGCTTGTCCTGATGCCTGTGGCTTAAAACCATTTGCCTGCGTTGGGGAGGGGTGGAGAGGGAGAACATGGGGTAGGTACTAAAGAGACTTTCTACTGAAGAATGCAAACAGTGAAGTCGGGTCTAACTTCTGAAAAGCCATTTTGTCTCTTTCTGGAACACAATGTTGGGTGAAGCATTCAACAAAAGGCTTCTAAATTTTCGGCAACTGCAGAGAATAATGATCAGATATTAGATGTTTTTAAAAGGTTTTATGGTAGAATGTTTATAATATGAAGTATACCCCTGTAATACCAGTGTAGCTTAGTGGTGTTATGTACACTCATGTTATGTACAACCATCCATCTTAACCCATCCACCTTCAGAACATTTTAATCTTCCCATACGGAAACTCCATACCCAGGGAACACTAACTCCCTGGTCTCCTATTTCCAGCTCTTGGTAGTTGCCATTCTACTTTGTTTGTAGATTTGACTACTCTTGGGGCATCATTTATGTAGAACCATAAAGTATTTGTTCTTTTGCACTGACTTATTTCTGCTTCTCAGGATGTCTTCCAGTTTCATTCATCTAACAATCTGTGTCAGAATTTCATTCTTTTTTCAATGCAGAATAATATTCCATTGAATGTATACCCCATGCTTTGTTGTAAGTCTTCCACTAATGGACCCTTTGGGTTGCTTATGCCATTTAACTTCCGTGACCCATGCTGCTATCAACATGAGTGAGCAAATATTGATTAGAGTCCCTGCTTCCAATTCTATTTTTTCAAGGTGGGCTTTTAAGAAAATTCTGTTTTATTGGTGCGTTATAATTACGTATACTAGTGGGATTTGTTTTTACATATTGAAACATGCACACAACATAATTTGTTCAATTTCATTCCCCAGTATCTTCTGCTTCAAATTCTTTTGAATAGATACCCAGAAGGAGAATTGCTAGATCACATGGCAGGTCTATCTTTAACTTTTAAAGAACTACCATACTGTTTTCCACAATGGATGTCCCATTTTATAGTCTTGCCAACATTATACAGGTTTTCTAACTTCTCAAATCTTTGTTATTGTCTGATTTTTTTATGTATTTTTTTTTAGTTGTTGGGTGGACACAATACTTTTATTTTACTTTAATGTGGTGCTGAGGATTAAACCCAGTGCCTCACACATGCCAGGTAAGCACTTTACTACTGAGCCTCAACCTTGACCTTTTTTTTTTTTAAATCATAACCATCATAATGGGTATGAAGTAGTATCTTATGGTTTTGACTTGCATTTATATTAGGTACTGTTTTGTGTTGCTATAACAAAATACCTAAAGCTGGGTTCTCACAAAGAAATGAGGTTTATTTAGCTGACCGTTTTGGAGGCTGAATGCCCTGGATTGGGAAGTCTCGTCTGTATGGCCTCTGGTGAGGGCCTCCTTGACTACATCAGAACATGGTGGATGGCATCATGGTGGGAGCACATGATGGTGGGTCAGTCACATGGCAAGACTTGAGGCAAAAGGGATTCAGGGACCAGTCTTGCTTCTTTTCATAGCAACTTTCTTTTGTGAAAACTAACTGGGGTCCCTTGAGAACATTAAGGATCCTAGGGTGAGGCCTCTAGTGACCTGACCACCTTGCACTGGGCCCATTTCTTAAAGGTTCCACCACCTCAACACCAGCACACTGGGAACGAGGCTTTCAGCACATGAACCATGGGGAGCATGGGACACACTTAATGACCATCTTTCATCTTTGTGGGTTAAAGATTCTTAAGAAAACCTCACAAATAGGAGACACATCCCATATGGCTTTATATCTCTGGGACTCATCTAAGAGCTCTAAAAGTAACCGCTACACCCATTATATCCATTTTCATGGTTTAAGGTTAATGTTCTATGTATATTAAAACTGCTTTTAAAAATAATCCAGGAACAGTGGCACATAGTAGTCCCAGCTATTCAGGAGCTGAGGCAGGAGGATCACAAATTTGGGGCCAGACTGGGCCACTTACTGAGATCCTGTCTCAAAAAATAACAACAAATTAAAAGAGCTGGGGCTATAGTTCAGCAGTAGAGCACCCCTGGGTTCAATCCCCTGTACTTCAATAAATAAATTAGTAAATAAAAAGACAAATGTGATTTGATTTAACTTCTAAGACATCTTTAGAGTAGTCAAACTGATAAAGACAAAATAGAATGGTACATGCCAGAGTCAGAGTGGAGGGGAAATGGGAAATCAGTGTTGAATGTGGGGAGTGTCTCAGATTTGCAAATTGAAAAAGTTCTGGAGGTGGATGGTGGTGATAGCTATATAACCAAGTGAATGTTCTTTTTTTAAAAAATTTTTAGTTGTAGATGGACACATTACCTTTATTTTTATGTGGTGCTGAAGATTGAACCCAGTGCCTCATGTGAGTGAGGCAAGCACTGTACCATTGAGCTACAATCCCAGCCCATGAGAATGTTCTTAATGCCACAGAACAATCTGTGTATACATAGTTAAGATGCTAGAGTTTGTTGTGTATACTTTACCACCCATGCACAACTGCTTTCTAGGCCCACTATGAGAAGTGGTTCCATGCTTCCCTCCTTCAGCCTCTACTCTGAGGAAGCTCAAGGCCTCCTCACCTGAGAACAAACTCTAGCCCACCCTTGATGTTGTAGAGTCAAATGTGCAGCAACACCACACTGGGATCTGGAGTTATAACTGTTTGTGTTCCCTGAAGGAAGAAGATGGCGTACTGTTCCCAAGCCTGGATCTAGGATGTGAATGTGTGAAGAATATAACAAAATAATAGCAGTACTCCACAAATCCTAAAGCCCTTACCCACGCACTGAAAGAAAATGTCTTTGAGAAGCGGCACTGCTGTTTCTTAGTGTATCACAAATGTAAAGCTTTTAAAACTTAATAAAATGTTCAACACTTTCACCTCTTGCTGTGGTTTGGAGCTTAAATGTCACCCCAAAGCCTATATTCTGGGGGCCTGGTTGCCAGCCTGTGGTGCTATTGGGAGGAGAGAGACCTTTGGGAGGTGTGGCCTAGGGGAAGGAAGTTAGGTCATTGGGGGCGTGGCCTTGAAGGGGATGGTGGGACCCCAGCACCTACCTTTTTTACTTCCTGGCCTTAACAAATTTTCCTCTGCCACATGATCCTGCCATGGGTCCAAAAACAATAAGATCAAATAACCCTGGACTAAACTCACTGAAACAGCCAAAATAAACCTTTTAAGTTGATTGTCTCAGTGAGATTGTCTCAGATATAGTCACTGACACCTCTAACATCTCTCTATCAAAAGGTCATTTATTTACTTATTTTTGTAGTTGTATATGGACAGAATGCCTTTATATGTTAATTTTTATGTGGTGCTGAGGATCAAACCCAGTATCTCATGCATGCTAGGCAAGCGCTCTGCCACTGAGCTACAGGCCCAGCCCTCAAAAGGTCATTTTAAACCACTTGCATCCTAAAGCCATGTGGAATTCATGAGAACATTGTAAGAATCTTGGAGTAAGAACTTCAAGTGTCAAATGGTCTATTCAGATAAGCTTCGACTTAAGTTCTCAGTGCAGCAGGGATGTTGGAAGTCTTGGCTTTCTTTCCTCTGGTAATTAGTCTCCTGGCACTGTAATGAGTTCTAAGATGATGGTCCTCTGTCGAAACTCAGAATCCCTCGTATTTTCCTAAGATATTCAAGTATAATTTTAATGCAATCATTGGTTTAGGGCAGTGTTTTGAGATTTATCTGTACCCCAGGGATTACTTGTTAGATCATATTAATGGCCCCCATCTCAGAGGTTGAGTAGAACCTGAGAACTTACATTTCTAAGGCACTTCCAGGTGACGCTGATGCTGCTAGCTCAGGTGCCACACTTTGAAAGCCACTGGTCTGACTTGGGATGTAATTCAGTGGTAGAGCATGTACCTAGCATGTATGAGGCCCCGAGTTCAATTTCCTAGCGCTGCAAAAAAATAAAGTTATGAAAGTTACAAGTCTAGGCAGTGGTCAGCAAACTATAACCAATAGGGCAAATTCAGCCCCTTGCCTGTTTTGTAAAATTTACTGGAACATAGCCTCGTTTAATTGTTCATATTTCATTTCAGAGCCACAGCATCTCATGCTACAGTAGCAAAAATGAGTAGAATGAACCCATATCTGCTATCTGGTTCTTTATAAAAAGTATTTGCTGACCCTTTATCTATCCACCAGTGTGCCCTACTTTGATGTGGGTTATGTAGGTGGATCACCTTTCAGAAAAACTTATATCATGCAAACGTAAAATGTAGGAAGCTACAAAGCTAAATGATCTAGTTTGACATGTGATCATGACGGAGCCAGAGGTTCATAGCTTAATCTCTTTCTTGAGGTCTCTCCAGTTGTCTGAGATCAGACAAGATTGAAGGGCTCTACTACCCAAATCCATAGAGGTCAAGTGCTTTCAGAAAGCTGCTCTTTGTCACTTTAAGCAGGCCAGGAGAGGAGGAAGGTGTTTTAAAATATTTAAAGTAAGATTTGCCACCTGTCTTAGACTGTTTTACGATAGTATAACAGAATTCCAGAGACTAGGTAGTAAATAAAGAAAAGAAACATTTCTTACAGTTCTAAATGCTGGTAAGCCCAATATCAGAGATGCTGGCATCAGCAAGGGCTGTCTTGATGTGTCACAACATGGTAAAGGGCACCACGTGGTAAGAGTGAGGGAATACGTGTATTCAGGTTGGTTTTCTCTTATAAGCTACTAATCCCATCATGGAGTCCACTCTTGTGACACCAACTTACCCCAATTACCTCCTCAAAGCCTCATGTCCAGTTACCTACTATCTATAAATTCAGGGATTAAGTTTTTAGTACATGAACTTTGGAGGAAACAGCCCCACATAGTTACTAAGGCATGTGGAGAGCGGATAGATGGTATACTGAGTCCAACTCAGAAATCTGATCTTCCCCTCCCAAGGAATAAGAATTAAATAGTTCAGAAAAGCTTAAGCAACTTCATATTCCAAATTTTGCATTGGAGCAATGCTTGGGACAAGAAGCATTTCAGGTTTCAATTTTTTTTTTCTTCAGATTTTGGAATATTTGCATCTACATAATGAGATATCTTGGAAATGGGACCCAAGCTTGAACATAAAATCCAATTATGGGTCATAACACCTTATACACATAACCTGAAGGCAATTTTACACAACATTTTTAGTGTGCCTGTGTTTTAACTATGACCCCATCACAAGAGCCTCAGGTATGAAATGTTCCACTTGTCGTATCATGTCAGCATCCAAAAAGCTTCATATTTTTTAGAGCATTTTGGATTTTCAGGTTAGGGATACTCAACCTGTAATATTCTTATCAACTTGAGGCTATTTTTTTATTTCTTTCATGCCTAATGTAAAGTTAGTTTTTGGGTCACTACCCCTTGTCCTGTCCCTGTTGTGTTTAATAGATGTAATACTCTTTGACTCTCTCATTTGTTACCTTTGTTTTTTTTTTTAAACAATATATTTGCCCCTGCGTATTTGGTTTCATTGACCTTAATATTTTATTTTGTCTTGGTGGTAGATGAATTGAAAAAGCAGTCCCAATTCTGTGTCCTTCTCCATATCCATCCTCTTTGCAATGTGACCTTACAGATTTCCCAACCTCATCCCCATACCCACCCATCAAAGAGATATAGAATCTGTTTTCCTCCCCCTTGATTCTGGACTTGGCCTGAACTCGCTCTGGCCAGCAGAATGTGGTTGAAGCAGTATTATCTGAGGCCTAAGCCTCATCTGCTTCTGTTTTCTTGGAGTTCTGCCACCACCACGACACAAGCTAGGCTAGCCTGCTGGGCATGAGAGACCACATGGAGCAGAGACCAGCCACCCGCCAGCTAGCCCCCAAAACAAGTGTGAACCCCACCAAGATCAACAGAACTGCCCCTCTGACCCACAGATGCAGGAGGAAGCCTGGATGAGCTAAGAAGAATGGCCTAGCTCATCCTTGCACTGGTGACCGCATGCTGATCATCTGAGGGTGGTTTGTTATTCTACAGTAGTTGATGGTAGTGAAAGGGTTCAGCCTTCATCCTCTCTGCCTTTCTGTCCTGGATTCTCACAGATGATATTTTACTTTCATATTGTCACGGATAATGTCTGACCTGCGCTAGACATCAACAAGGCTCTATGCTCTTCAGATAGATTCCAATTGGAAAATAAAACACCATTTACAATGTCACTGTTTGGTACTGGGCCTAGTAGTGCCTCTAGGGCTCAACTTCCAGATCTGTGACTCCAGTGTTATGACTTTGGGGTTGATCAAAAGAAAACGTTCCCAGTCTCAAAAATTAAATGTATTTCTGTGGTCACCCAGAGGCTAAAGTCATGTCGTGATCCCTTCTTAACCTGCAGGGAAGCACATTCTGAGACCCGCCTCGCTAGTACCAAACCCTATACTATGTTTTTTCCCTATACATATAAACCTGTAGCAAGGTCTAATTCAGAAATTAGGTATCGTAAGAAGCTAACTCCTAAATAATCAACTAAAACAATTATAATAAAACTTACGTGAATGTGATCCCTGCCCCCTCCCAAATCTTATTGTACTTTCACTTAAAGAAGGCACTTTGTGTGTGTGTGGGGGGGGTGGGGTTGTGGCTCAGTGGTAGAGCGCTCTCTGGCATGTGTGAGGCACTGGGTTTGATCCTCAGCACCACATAAAAATAAATAAATAAAATAAAGGTATTGTGTCTGACTACAACTAAGAAAAACAGAAGGCACTTTACAGCTTTTTCTGTGGCATTCCCAAATTGCCAGCAACATTACTTTTGGCCTCTGGAGCCATTATTGAGTAAGATCAGGGTTATTCGAGCGCTGCACTGTGGTATTCCCACTGTTGATCTGATAACCTAGATGGCTACTAGAGACCAGAGGGTGATAGTGTATAGAGCATGACCACATGGAACAAAGGGATGATCCAACTCCCAACTGGAATGGTGCAGGATGAGGAGAAATTTTATCCCATTACTCAGCATGCTGAGTAAAACTTATGAATGGTTTACTTCTGGAATTTTCCATTTTATTATTTATTTATTTGGAAGGGTACTGGGGGTTGAATCCAGGAATGTTTTACCACTGAACTACATTATTATTTTATTCTGAGACAAGGTGTTACTAAGTTGCTGAGGCTAGCCTTGAACTTGAGAGCCTCCTGGGTCCCTGGAATTACAGGTATACTCCATCATGCCTGACCCATTTAATATTTTCAGACTACTATTGCCTGTGGGTGACTGAGACCATGCAAAATAAAACCAGAGGTAAGGAAAGACAACTATAACTTTTGACATTTTTGTTTAGACCATGCCTTTCTTCTAAAGCTGTTTTCCTAATTTAAGTGGTCTGTGATAGTATCTACAGATTTGCTTTAAAATCATTAGCTATGTAAGGTAGGAGGGCAGCACCTACCTCTCCTACCTTCTCTCCATGTTGTGTGTCCCTAGAGACTAGTACTTCTCACTCTCGGATCTATGTCTTCTAGAACTTGCTTTCATATTTCTAAATGACGTGCTTATGCTGCATTTAAAGATTTTCAAATTTGTAGAAGAGATTCCCATTCTTCCCCCTCCTCCCTGTTCTCCCATAATAAACACCTACTTTTTCTTAGTTTGATGTTCGTTTTTATCCCGATGATGTAAATTCTATTCGGAACTGTGTCTTCCTTAGAATAAACACACATCTTTGCCTGTGTGCTTTGTTTTCCTGGAATTTAGCAGGGAAAACCAAACTCTCTGCTCTAGGTGTAAAGCTCTTCCTGAATATCTGTGATCCATTGATGTCCTTGTCACTCACCTCCAAAGCAGAGCCCCGCCCCCCCTTCTGCTACAGCCTGGAGTCATTACCCCTAATCCTTGGAGCACATCTGCTGTCCTGAAATCC